AAATCACCATAGTTTTCCACTAGTACCTTCTTCTTTAGCATGTTCAGGTATACATTATATAATCCATCGAAATTTGATGATTACATAATCCATCGAAATTTGATGATTACATAATCCCTTCAATTTTTCAAAATAACAAATTAGTAGAGTAAAATTGATTTCCAATCATGGCCCAACATGGATCCAGATGTATTATCAGGACTTGCCCACAATCATACCGCAGAACAGGTCCATTTTTCATGTTTTTGAAATGCTACAATTTTGTGTCCAAATCTTTGTTATCAGTCAGGGGACTTATTGAAATTAAAGATTTTTAAATCACTTATTTAAGTAGCAAATTTGAAGTTTTGTCACAAATTGTGATTTTGTAGGTTTACCAAAATTTTAAACACATAGGTTTAGATAATATCTTTTCATTAGTAGAATAGAAAAACATGAATTTTTTGCTTCTTTTAAGCAGCAAGGTTTATGCCTTTGATGCAATCATTTAGCTGCAAATTCTATTTTAGTTGAAAAAATGCTATAAAAATGGCTTTACATAATGAACTGATACTTTCTTCACAGATTTTTCACAGCAGTTGGAGTATTTTTCCTGTAAAGTTCAAGGTTTCATCTTATAGATTATGTAATAAAATTCTACTGTTCTCGATCAAAATTTCACTGTTTGGGGGTGTTGAAATTAGTGGGGGTTATTGAAATAATGATACTTAAAGAAAGTGAATTTTTGGAAGGAAATTGAGCCTAGGTATGATACTTAAACAAGTGATTTTTATGTCATTATCCTAGATTTAGAACAAGGTCATCACCTGACATGACCCAGTCATCCTATCAACACAGATGTTGGTTCTGATAATTTTAGCAACATAATTAGTCCCTGGATCATTAGTATTCTATATTTAAAGCTACAATAAAATTAAATCACTTAGTCTAGTGATTAATTTGTACTACTTAAATAGGTGATTATTAAAGAAAGACAACTCTTACTTCCAACCTTTATGGACATAATGTTACTTGAATCAGTGATTTAGAAAATCACTCATTTAAGTAAGTCCCCTGACTGGTTATACTTTTTAAGCAGTCATAATGACAGTGTTCTTGAAAAATGAGTCCTGTTGGTCCTGGTCACCAAAAATCAGGTAAGTTCACCCAATTTTTTTTGAGTGACATAGTGGTCCTGATGTCTTTTGTTTTGTTTTTATCTGTTTTGGGCTGTCTGGTATTTAGAATGACTCCTGATATCAATTTTTATCAATATTTTATATGGAATAATATTATTATATATTTTGTGCAAATTGGCCAAAACTTACTTATACAGTACATGTAGTGATGTACACTGAGACTACTATGTGTCATAACTTATAGTAGCCTCAGATGTACACTATGGAAATACATGTAATGGAAATCAAACATTTTCTGCTGACCACCAAAATTATATTCATTGGGACAACCAGATTTGTAGTCTGAGGGGTTGGACAGGTAAGGGAATATGGGAATGAGGGTACTGGAAGCGGGAGTCAGGAGTGAGGGAAGCTGGAGTTGGGGGAGGGAAGTGGGAGTTAAGGGTGGGAAGAGGGGGAGTAAAAATTGGGATATTCTGGGAAAAATTGACCCATTTTAGTCTGGGAGTATCTGTATCTGTAAGTAATCTTCACCTCCAATGTAGGAGATCGAGGAAATTCTCCTTTAATCTGGCTATAATTACATTGAAAACATAACAATAACAAAAAAGTTATTGTAATTTGTTACGTTGTACACAATTGCCAGAGTGCTAGGTTGAGTTAGGAACCGATTAATTACAAATGTAACAATAATATATTTGTTTCTACGGTTACAGTGTGTTATTGTTACGTTAATGCATTTCAATATATGATGGGGATACATTTGTAGTACGAACTTCATTAATATAACTGTATAAAATTCAATTTTTTTTAATTTTAAATGCATCCAAAATTTTTTATTTTTCACCCAAAGAAAATTTGGTAATGGGAATAACTTCGTCAATTGATTCAAAGTATATTGACAGTATTTGGGTTATTTATTAGCATCAACAGTTTACTAATTCTGAATCAATATTAAAGAAGGGTTAGTTTGTAGTTAAATTTTTATACATAGAAGTGCATACATGTACTTTAATTTTTCTAAACATCGAACCAAATAATCTCCATGTAAATGAGATATGCCAATGCTTATACAACTGCATACCAAATATCATTGACCTACCACTTGGCCACTAGTAGTTCCCCATAAATTGACCTAATCACAAACTAATACATGTAAACTATGAAAAGTTTCAAAGTCAATAGACCTTGACTGAGGGGGCGGGGCCAAATAATCTCCATGGTAATGAGATGTGCCAATGTTATTACAACTGCATACCAAATATCACTGACCTTCCACTAGTGGTTCACCATGAACTAGACCTAATCACGAACTAATACATTATTGACGCCGCTGCCGGAAACAGCATACCTATGTCTTGCTTTTTGACTCTGTTAAGGCAAGACAAAAATGGACGTCACACTAAACTTCAAAAACATGTAAATGAACTAAAATTAAAAAACATACAAGACTAACAAAGGCCAGAGGCTCCTGACTTGGGACAGGCGCAAAAATGCAGGGGGGGTTGGGGGGGGGTTAAACATGTTTTGTGACAGCTCAACCAAACTCTATACCTCTAGCCAATGTAGAATAAACAAACACACAGTAATACGCACAGTAAAACTCAGTTTAGAAGAAGTCCTTGTCCAATGTCAGAAAAGGTAACTTATGAAACTAAGCAAAATGACAATGATACATAAATTAACAAGGGACTACTAGCAGTTACTGACATGCCAGCTCCAGACCTCGATTAAACTGATTGAAAGATTATGTTTTCATCATATGAAAATCAAGCACAAACCCTTCTGTAAGGGGTTTAGAATATAATAGAACTATATTCTTCGCCTTTGGCACTACTAAACTGTAGTATTATCTTGAATATCATTAAAACAATTAACATGATTAATACTTAAAAACTATTTAAACATTATTTATTGATTTATAATAACAATAATAAGAATAATAATAATGATAACAATAATAATAATTATCAAGCATATCGGAGAATTCAGTAACAAAACTAAAGTCAATTTAAAGTTTAATAAATCTAAAGTAACAATAACACAACATAACCGTCGACACAAATATTATTGTTACATTCGTAAGTAATGGGTTCCTAACCCAACCCAACCCAACCTAGCATTCCGGCAATTAGTGTCCAAGGTAATAAAAACTTTTTTGTTATTGTTACTTTTCAACATACATGTAATCGTAGCCAATGCCTAATCCATAACCCAAATAAAATCACTGTACATACAACTTTAAAATTTTTACAGTTAAAAATAAATGTTGAGATTCATTTAAGTCTTGCCAGTCATGGGAAAATTTTGATAAGGACTTATAGTCCAAATAATTATGACGTTTTGTACCGCTTGATAAAAACTTTTTGGATGCCTTAACAGAAAAAATCAAAAATAGCGTTTCTAGAGTCATAATTATTTGGACTAGATAAGGATGCCAAATTACTTCAAAAAGATTTATCTAGTTTAGTACAATGGGAAGAGGACTGGCAAATGAATTTTAATCCTGAGAAGTGTTATGTTATTCATATTTCTAAAAAAAGTAAACCTTCCACTTTTGATTATATATTGCACAATCATATTTTAGAAGCAGTAAAAGATAGTAAATATTTAGGCGTAACTATAAGCCATGATCTTGATTGGGGAACACATATAAACAATATTACCTGTAAGGCAAATAAAACCTTAGGTTTTCTTCGTAGGAACTTAAAAAACTGCACACGTAAGGTTAAAAACCTTACGTACACATCACTTGTCCGTCCAGTCGTCGAATACTCTTCCCCTGTATGGGATCCGTACAAAAAGCAACACATCACTCAGGTTGAGCAGGTACAGCGTAAGGCAGCCAGGTTTGTCTTCAATGATTATAAAGACAGATCACCTGGAGCAGTTTCAAATTTAATTAAATCATTGGAATGGGAAAATTTAGAAATAAGAAGGAAAAAAGCTAGATTAACTATGCTATATAAAATAAATTGGGGGTTAGTGGAAGTTCCTAAGGACAATTTAACAATATCTGATAGACGTACTAGGGGGAAACATAAATTTAGGCAAATATCAACAAATAAAGATTTCTATAAATTTTCTTTTTATCCTCGCACTATTTCGGACTGGAACTCACTACCTGAAGCAATAGGTATGTCTGACACCCTGGAATCCTTCAAAAGTGGCATATCTACTCTTAACATTTGAAGGAGCCACAACAACTTATTAAACTACAAAGCCACTGTACATAATGTATATATGTTATTGTTAATGATTTTTCTTTGTCATATTATTTTTAAATTAAGTCCATATGTACATAGCACACAAGTTCCGGGAAGTTTTACACTCCTACCTAGGAGTCTACTCCCGTATTCGGAAGAAGAAGAAGAAGAAGGACCAGACAAAAGTTTGGAGTATATTTCAAACTTTAAGAATAGTATCACTATGTATAGAACACAAGGACTAGTGGTGGATCCAGAAATTTGCATAATAGGGCCCACTTAGTCATGCTTCAGTGATTCCCTAAATAATCAACCAAATTTTTCCCACTAAAGGGGGTGCTGGACACCCTGCCCCCCTAAATCCGCCTCTGAGGACTGACAAATACTGTCAGTAAAAGGGGGGTTGGAGTTAAAAAGAGGTGTAGGGATAGAGAAGTGGGTATCAGGAACCCACTGTCCACCCCTCTTGTCTTAATTGTCCCACCAGCAGATTAAAAAGATCTCGAGAATTCTGTGATAAAAATGATCAAATTGTACTGTTATAACGATATTGAGTTATTCAGTTAACGGCTGAACACGACACAAATATAAAAAAAAACAGTATGCCGATAACTATTGGATTCGGAGTCCAGTTAATTTAAGGCAATTATCTTAAATTTTAAATACAAATAAAAACCTTTTTGGTTCAAATGGATCCGATTCGTGCGTATTCATTTCTGAGATCTTTCTATAAGTTTGCCACCAAAATGTTGAAACCATGAATATATGACAACTCGGACCTAAGACAAGTCGGACTAAGACAACTCGGACCACTTTTAAAGACAACTCGGGCAGTTTAAAAGCCAACTCGGACCACTTCGGCATGCAAAGGAGGATGGGAAAAGTTCGATAAAAGCATTTCAAACGATTGGCTCTGTTATTGCAGAATAGTCATATTTCAGTGATATTTTTTTGTTCATTTCATCTGTCCTATTGACAAAGAAAAGGAAAATATTAAGACTTTAATTCTCTCATTATATTCTGATCAACACAGATTTCAAGTAGTAAAGTAACGCGTTGGCGATTAATGGCTTATAATTTATTCCTAATAAAATATAAAAAAAAATGCCTCGTTATAAATAATGTGTTAAGTAAAATATCTACAAAGAAAGAGGATTTAAGTGACATGTCTCTGATTTAAGTCAAGAATGATGTAATATGATTTTATTTGATAAACATATAACTATTTTATTTCTAAAGAAATATGAAAATTCATTGTTTAAAAAAATGGTTTGACTTGCTTTACATCGAAAATTGGCTTCACAGATAGACGTGTACTTTATAAAAGCTAACCTAAGGGTTTTAAGAATATTCAAAAAAATATTCGTGAGAGTGTATACATGTACTTTGAAATTGATTTAACATCGTGTATACATATACCGAGAAGAATACATCTTTAGTACAGTCTAAGGTCAAAAGTCTTTCACCTATCCCAAATTCCCCTATTGTATTCTAAATGACTCGTAATCACAAAGACATGTACTATATAGAGATAAGATATCCTTAGTACTCCGTCAGTTCGCTCACAGGCAGTGGTCAGCACTGAATCATCGAATTAATCTGGCTAATCATCCGTTATTAGCCAAGATGTTATTAGAGAGGGATTTACAGTTTAATTCTCAGATGCTGTTAGACGTAATAATGAGGTTTCATCAAAATGAACATTATGACCAGTTAAATAGTTTTAATGAAAACGAGAACGTAAAAACCGTTTAGATATAGATACATTCAAACTAAGATTAGAGAAGAGTCAAGATATTAAAATAGATGAACTATTGAAAATGCTAAATCGGGATTTAGATAGGTCAGACTTTGTCAAAATTGCTCACATTGGAATTCAAATCGCAAACGAAGACGGTTCGGATGAAATGGAACCTTCAAGGAAGAAGAAAAAGAAGCGATGTGAAAAACCAAATGTACCTTCGGTAAGCTTCTTAATATATAGTTTCGTCAATATGTTTTCACCATCGCCAGTTTGTCTTAAAGTTGTGAATTGAATATTTTGTCAGAAGCGCGAGTCGCTTATATTTTGTTTTTGGCATCGGGTAGAACTTGACCAGGTGTATCTGTGAATCTTTTGTTTAAAAAATGCAGAGAGCCTTTTAAATTAAATAAATGAGTTACAAAAATTTTGGTTAAAATCCACAGTGGGCATGCTTATAGAACAGGAACTGTGGTATTTATGTACTTTTGTTCAATTTTGAACAAATGGTTAAAATTGCAAAAAAAAATGGCGTAAAATTCCATAGACTTGATGGTAGCCTTTCGGTTAGAAATGTATAGTGATTTGTGAGTGTTGTTTATAAGAAAGGTCACAGTTGGTAGCAACTGTGTGTTCTAGACACTTTTGTTCTATGGACAAATGGTCAAAATTTATAAAATTGCTGACGACTGGGTCGTTGATTCAAGTCTATAAATACGGAATTATACAGTGGTAGTTACTGTGGTTTAGGCACTTTTGTTCAATGGTCAAACATGTTTAATATGGTGACAACGTTTTGAGTGTTTGTTTAGTAAGTTATTTGTGAAGAATTGTGATGTTGATCGAAAATAAAGGTTCTGTATACTATTTTAAAATAGTAATTTAATGCACTATAAAGAGTGTTATGAGGAAAATGCAAGTTTCGGCATTGATTACAAAGGATAAATTATTAAGTCAGGTATGATAATTTTGAAAGAACCAATTATGATATTTAAAGGACACAAACTATATATAAAAAATGTGTATCAAGTCAAAGAATAAATTATATAAACTAATTTAAGAGAGAATAAATTTGTGAACATTGTACATTTTCCGAATTTTATCTGTATATATTCCTAATTTCTATGACGTTACGCACAATGTTGGTGACGTTTTCTGATTTCACGTACCTGATACTAAAATTCGGCTTTATATAAGAAAAATACAGGAAAGATCAAGTGTTAATTTGTGTACAAAATCTTTAAAGCATGTAAGAAATTAGGGTTACAGATGGCTTATCGGTTTTTATTCAGTTTTGTCGATCAATTTTCGGAATATTAACAAGAAAAATCTTATATTTTTCGTGTAGACGGGTAACATACTAATGTTGTTCTTCGAGTGTTCCTCCTATTTTCGGGTATTTACAAGTACATAAAATATAAAAATGCTATACCATTTGAAAGAAGAAAGTTAGGACTTGTGACGACATGCGTGTAAAACGTAAATAACGCAATTTTTGGAGAGAGTAGGTCTTGTAAGAAGTCATTATTGATTGTAGACACCAAGGATAAATATAACTCCCTTACGGCATAACAGATCAGAATGCATTTATAGCAAGAGGATTATGTTCTCAAATTGATGATAATGCATATCCTTTCGTAAAACAAGTATGAAAAACTCATTGAAAGCAAAAAAATCTAATGTAAACGAGCGATTCCCATGAAAACATTGACATCATTACCAAAAACCTAGCCCAGAGTACACTGTCACAACAACTTTTAAAAAAAACTGTTCTATATAAATAAATTATCTATATTGAGTTAAACTGTGCAAAACACTTCATCTAGTCAGACAATGTATCATGCGTCCTAATCTATAACATTTGAACGGTATTCATTCGGACAGTAATCTTATTTATAGCATTAAACAAAAAAATACTTAGTATATAAATCCCCAAAGGTCTCCCGTCACAAAACTTTAAACCAACGTTTTACGTTAAGTAATTTCGGAGTTGGTTATAGAAAACAATGAAAAATAATGTGTTATACATTTTTGAACGGAGAATTGAAACCAGTATGACAAATTCCAAATAAAAAAGAGAATATTCTATGCTTTTAATTATATTTTTATCGCATGATAAGTATCGAATATCGATGCGTTGAAAGGATGTCTACCAAAATGTCACAATGTTAGCGTCCTCATTTTTTCATTGAATTATAATGGACAAGTTGTTACAAATCGTAAAAAATAGTGAAAACAACATCAGCTGTTAAAAAAAATTAACTATAATATCAAATTCTTTTGCTAAACGAACATTTCGATATATATAAAATAAAAAGTAATGTACAAATCATCAAAATAAAGCGGTCACATGGTGGTCTACCAAAATGTCACAGCATCGCTAATTTGACGTTTTTGACGTTCACTATGTATAGGCAACGTATGTTTGCGTTTTAGTGTTTTTGAAACGTAGCTATTTTATTAAAAGAATACCTAAAATATGAATTTACAATTTTTTTTTATTTCATCTCGTTAAAATGCATTCCTCTTTTCAATATAACATTAATTTTGTAATAAAACCTGATTTGAGTACACTTCAATCAGACAGCAACTCAACAACAACAAAAATACATATTTACACAAATCGTCCGAAGACTAAAGTGGAAATTCAAACATTACTTGCATCATACATGTATCAATTAAAATGTTGATAGTTTTTTACTTATAATAAATTGCCCCAAACTTGTTAAATTACAAAAAACTCGTTATAAATTATATATTCAATACGTTGCCATATTCTTTATTGAACGTTTCTTAATTAATATTATAAAAAAGAAGATGTGGTATGATTGCTAATGAGACAACTCTTCACAAGAGAGGATATGCAAATAGATTTACGGTACATACTCAGTAAACATCGGTAAAATGTTTTTTGGAAATACTTTTGTTCATTATATAATTTTAAATCAAGATGCAATTTTTTATGAGTTAAAAAAATTAAAGAATTCTGTGAGACAACACCAAACTTTGCCCCCTACTTGTCAGATAATAGTCTGACATATTGACCTAAAAATCTACAAAGGGGACTTGAAATATTGCAAAGTCGACTTAGATATTTGACAAGAAAATATCTGACAACTTTTCTTAAAAAGAGACACATTGAATTTAACTGAAGAAGAAAACGATACTATTTTGGAATGTGCGAGAGTATGTGTTATACTGTTTCGACACTGTTCCAGGTTAGGGAGAGGGTTTGGCGCGCCAGCAAACATGTTTAACCTCGCCACATTCTGAATGTACCTGTCCACGGTCAAGTGTCTGACTGTAATTCAGTAGTTGTCGTTTGTTGTTGTGTATCATATTTTTATCCGTTTATTGTTTTGTACATAAACCAGGCCGTGAATTTTCTCGTTTAAATTGTTTTACATTTTTCATTTCGGGGCCTTTAATAGCTTACTGTGCGGTATGTGTTTTGCTCATTGTCGAAGGCCGTACGGTGACCTATAATTGTTAACTTTTATGTCATTTGGTCACTGGTAGAGATTTGTATCATTGGCAATCATACCACATCTTTTTATTTTTCTATTATTTAAAGATTTTCCCAGGCCTCGTTTGCTTCAGCGATCTAAGAGTTTATCTACAGTAATCACTATCATGTCAACATTGAGGTTGTGAATGAGGCCCCGATCGTAGCAAGGGCATCCGACTCCGATCCTTAATTACTAAGATTTCCACAGTTTCCTACATGGCAAAGGTCGGTTGCTGTCTCTGTGCACTCTGGCTGCCTCCGCCATTAAAAAAAATGGACGCCATTTTTTTTATTTTTTTTTTTTTTTGGTGTCTAAAGTCTTATATTGTAATATGCTCTTTGTGAACCCATTCGATGGAAATGAAATATCTTCTTCTCCCTCTATAACAAAGAGTGCTGAAAGTGGTGTTAAACACCAACAATCAATCAATTAGTTTCAAAGAATTTCGTTTAAGCGTGCGTCTCAGCAGAAGATAGCTATACTAATAATATCTTTTAGCTTAACAGGAGATTTTTTCGTCATTTTATACATATATTTACTATTTAAGGAACCAATAAAGCAATGAAAGTTTTGTGTTGATCTTTTTCACGTTTTGCAAACCTTGTAAATTAAAGAAAAACTAAGTAGTATTTTGTTATACATTGCTTTCGTTACATAACATTACCTTATTTCAAACATACTTCTTTATTTATTCCATACTTCATTATTTAAATTATACTTGACTGTTTACTTATTTCGTATTTTGTTCTGTGTACAATGTAATTGTTTTCGATATATTTTTTTTGAAATACATAAGTTGTTTAACTTGATAAAGTGTTTCTTATTACATACAAAATTACGCAATGATTAATCTGTATAAAATCACATAACGCTAAATTTGTTCGTTAGTAATAAAATTGTATTGAAAAGAACAGGAAACTTCCTAACTCGTAAAAAGTTGAGCTCAAAATTTCATACTAGTCTCCCATTCAGCCTTTTAAAAGTTCTAAAAAAGTATATAAAAAAAAAGAATAAAGAAAGTAAATTAACTCTGAATGCGATACCGTGAACTTTGGTGTGACGTACAGTTTATCAATGTCTATTTTATAGTTACACAATTCTTCAGTGGTGTTCTGACTCAATGCAAGAAGGACGTTCCTATATTACCTTTATCCTATACCTATGCTCGCCAATGCTCGTATATCTTTATTAGTTTTGGCTTTCTTAAACACAAATCAATCGGCCAGTGAATATAAAAATCATAAGTATTTTATGTCAAACTACGTAGGTTTTTCACTTATGCGAATAAGTTTGGATTTTTTGTTTGGAATATATAGCAAATTTTCGAACAAATTTTTTTTATTTATATCATTAGAAATTGATAATTAAGGCTTCACAACAAATATATTATTAAATAAACAAATAAGCCTATTGTACCAAGTTGATTAAAATCCAACCAGAAATATTAAATAGGCCCTAAATATTTGTTTATAAAAAAACGTACATTTATATGAAATGTATAGAACCAATTGTAGGTGACGATACCTTATGGCCATGTACAGTTTATGACAAAAATGAATGTGTCACAACTGAATAAATAAGGATTTTCCTACTTATACACCATTAACTTCAATATAATTCACACATGTACCATGGGGATACTTCAGGATTGGCCTTAAATCATAAATCAATTAGGTGATGACCAGTAAGAAAGCATTTCATTTCAGCAATTCTA